TCTCCAAAACTCGTTCGCTTACTTTTAATGATAAACAAACGGGGGCTTCACTGAGAATTGAACGTTCTTGTTACTAGAGATGGAATTGTGCAAATTCCGCGGAAGGTTCAAGATTAGATTTTTCTAATGTTCTCACTAGTGCCTTTTATTTGGACATTGCGTGCCAAGAATGTTTAACAGATTAGATCATTTTACTCGATCCACTATGAAAATAATTGAGTAATTTTACTGAATCTCTGTGACATGTCTCTTCGAAAATATTCATTACAAGGAATTAGAGTATCAAACAGGATGGACCTAACATGACCCACTCGAGACTAACTTGATAATCGATAATTAAAAATTTCGGATGGGGCCAATTTATAATTGGACTTGAGTTAATATTATATATATAAAAAAATGAATATAACTTTTTAAAAGATGCACCAAGCGTCACCGTTATGTCATTTAAAAATAAAATAAAATAAAATTTGTTATGGTCATGGCATGTTAATCTCAACAGAGGAACTTACGTCAAGTTGACATTTATTATCTGCACATGTCATGATACAAGCTTACAATAATGATTCAAGATGAGATTTGACAATTAAGAATTTGAAATTTTTATAAATACATAATTGATCATAAGATTTGAACTTAGTTGCTTACGAATTTCAGAATTTGACACGGCAATAGAAGAGAAAAGTATTATCCTCAACAAAGCTTATGAAGATTATCGAATTAATTATATTTTAAGTTTATTTTTCAATGAAGAGTGTCTTTGGCCAATAGAACAACGCTCAAAGTCCAAACACATTTACGACTTTGAACTTGATTGTTTTCGATTTTGACACCGCAATAGAAGAGAGAAGCAGTGTCTTCGACAGGGGTCTACGAAGATTATCGAATTAATTATATTTCAAGTTTATATTTTAGGAAAGCGTGTCTTTGGCCAATAGAACAGCACCCAAAGTCTAAGCAAGTCTATGGCTTATGAGGGTTGGTAATTAGTCCATTTAACTTGAGCAACATGACAATTAGAAAGATTCAAAGGCTAAAGGCCACAAGGCAATCATTTATAAACAATGCGTCCATATTTGCTGCTGGTGACGTAATTAAGCACTCAACAAGGCGGGCGTACGACTTTTCGTCCACTGGATTGCAAGCGTGTATTTGAATATAAAAAAACGAAAAGTCTTTATCCAATAAAGCGGGCCAATGAATTGTAAGCATGTGTGACGTGTAAAAATGAGATACAACAATTAGTATATGCACGTGATTCACAATAACGCTGAAAAAGGATATGAATAGTGTTCGTCTCTTCGAATAAACAATTAACTTAACGGGATTGGAGTCGAGATTAAAATATTTTTTAAACCGACCAAAATAATTTATATATGAATAAAAAATATAATATATGATTTTCTATGATGGAAACTTGAAAACATGGTCTCTCTCTCTCTCTCTCTCTATTAAAAAAAAAAATGCTGTTTACATATCCAGGCCCATTCCATCATTAAATGGGCCACAAGTCTGTTGGGCCGCTCAGCCCTCTGCTGGTAGGCCCTGATTTAATGAAGATGTGACGTTCACCAGACCATTATAAGGATTTCAATTGAACGATGTCCACAAATTAATAAGAACGTGGTCCTTGAAACCACCGGGGACCGTTTGCGTACGTCAATGAACTTTGGGCCCACGTACCATTATCCGGCCCATCCATCTCTGTTAACTAG